TGATCTGTTCAATTTCCTACTTCATTTCGCTAATTCAAACTGCATTTTTGTCGTTTCTTCTTCTTGTTTGCTCCGACTTGTAAAATCTAGCTTCTGATCTAATTTGTGTATCTCACATTTGATATGAGTTGCTCTAGCTTGTTCCACATCAATGCATCGTTAAAAATTCACTTAGAAAGTCAGTTCTTCTTCTAAAATGTGGATTTAAGAGGTGAAGAGGTGTGGTTGACCTCAAGGATTAGGTTGTTTGAACAGTAAAGGGGCGGTCTTTATTGGTTTCGTTAGATTTACACGTTGTACCTATAGAAATACAATGAAGTTTCTTGGTTGACTTAGCGAAATTTATTCTCTTGCTATGTTGCTTCCACTGCTTGTTGAAACTAAGTGTTTGCTTAGCCTTGCTCTCATATCATAGAGCCTAGACTTCGCTTTATTATAGTATTCAGATATTTAGGCTCAGACTTCAGAAGAATCACGTAATAAATGAAAATGGAACACATGCAATTAAAATAGAATTGATAGAATGGAGGAATGATATGAGAGGTACTATGCGATAAAAAGATAATTAACTTAGTAAAACACAAGTTTGATATAACATTGGTGAGACCAGCAATGTTAGATGAAAGTGAATATTAGGCCTCGAAGGCTAAACATATCTAGAACGTCAGTGTCACAATAATGCAAGATGGATATGTAATTATGAAATATTTGACAAGATTAAAATGATCCATTTGTGAGGGTGCAAGTAGTACACATGGAGGGTGTAATAAGAGAAGATCGCCTGATGTGATATGACAATGTTCTAGTAGACCTTCATAGACACTGGTTTATTGGTGTGATATTATGATGATTGGCATTGCTAAACATTGACTAGGTGAAAAAGCTGTGTAGGACGACCAGAACCGATGTTAAATTTAGCTTAGGACAGAGCACTAGTGAAAGAAAGGGGATTCGTGTAGGTAATAAATATAGACTGGTTAGGACTAGCAGTTACTTATGGGTGTCATTTTTACCTTAGTTACGATGTTTACCATGAGTTTCTTTGATATGCTAAAAGACTTATCAATATTGTACTTATTGATATTGAAGTCATAAGTGTGAGATTTAAAGAATCTCAAAATCTAGACAACTCCTAATAAAAGGAAAATTGTTTATAAACAAAGTAGTATTGGAATGATTTAGGGCCTAATAAAGTGGAATGGCTATAGAGGATTCAACTTATGTATCATACTATCAAACTTTTGGAAAGAGCAATGGAACATAGACTTAGGGACATTACAAGGGTGTATGAGAACCAATTTGGATTTATGTTCGATCGATCTTTAACATGTCCTATTTTTTCTAAAAAGATTGATGAATATTTGTAAGGATAAGAAGAAAAAAGATCATTCTTCCTCTGCTTCACTTGATATTTTTATTGACCTAGAACGTCATACAATAAGGCGGGAGCCTTGGAGCAACAAAAAATGTTGTCTTCGTGTGACCTATAGGTCACGGGTTCTAGCTATGGAATCAGCCACTGGCGCTTGCGTCAAGGTAGACTAACTATATCATACAATACCAATACAATAAAGTGTCAGTAAAAGTTTGTTGTTGGGTGCGTTGGTGGGTGTTGGAGAAGTTAGGAATTCTTACCAGATGTACATTCCGTAAAGGATAAGCATAAAGGAGTTGTCACAAGTGTGACAACGATAGGAGTAGATATATGAAGTTCTCATAACTGACTGCAATTGGTTTAGGATTGAGACATAGTTGTTGTTAACTTGTTATTGTTGTTGGTTATAGAGGATTAATGTAGCCGAACTCAACTTTGTTGATTGCGGCATAAGTTCTTCTTATTATTTCTACAATAGGTAACTTTTTTTTTCTGTTTAGTAATATTTCTGTGAGTGATATGGTCATTCTAGTAAAGCATGCTAGTTCAGTTTGTCCTTACTTACCTAGTTAGAAATAAGAAAATAGACTATCTTTGGGTTGGGGAAACCTGTGTTTGCTTCCTTGGTTTCTTTGCATAAAATTCAATCAACTATGTCTCAATCTCAAATTAGTAGGGCTTGAATATATCAATATTCTATATCCGTTTCGTTCTACTCAAGTCTATTTCATTCCAATAATAGATGGTTTTCCTTTTCAAGATAAATTAGAAATTCTCTAAATTACAACACTTAGCCGTACAATAATAACTAACTTAAATCTCAACTATTTTACTGGATCTTTTGTTTTCATTTCGTTATATCCCTAGCTAAATCGCCTATTGAGTTGGGAATTAGTAGCAAGTAACATTAAATAGATAAAGTGGGAAGGAAGCTTAATATTACATGTTCATGTTCTTGTTAAAAATTTGATCTGGGTTTGCTAGTTGGAGGCAGCACGTATCCCGTGGAATTAGTCGAAGTGCGCGCAAGTTGGCCCGGATACCACGGTTATTTAAAAAAAAGGAATTTGATGTGGGTTTGTCTATGCTTCTTTACCAAGTCATAGACGGTAAAAGAAAGAACTGCTTTTTACGTGGAAACCTGTGTTTGCTTTTCTTATTTCTTGGCATAAGGGGGGGGACTTAATCATGAGTAATGTTAGATAGAATAGATGGAGATGAGATAAAGTTCCTCTCTCTAGGAAAGCTTGAAATCAATAATATTGGGTTTGTGACTGATGTGTCGCATTCATTTGTCTACAACTTTGGTTGCTTTGAGATCATTATATAAAGTATTTTCTCTTATATTTCTGCAGAAAGGCCACATTCAAGATGGGTTTCTAGCATTTGCCTTTCTCCTGAATGATATGATGGTATGATGCCATACTTTTATATTTGGATTTTGCATTTTTCTATATCAGATGAATCATGTTTGGTAATGTTGACTTGTTTTCATAAGAAACAGAAAAAGATTGCAAGTACCTTTTTTGAGAAGGTTTAAATATTTTTCTGAGAAGGAATCTGCTAGTACCTTTGTTTAAGGAACTTTAAGTATATATATATATATATCTTACAATTGCAGTAACTATCAGTAATTGATTTAGAAATCTTTTAGACTTCACTTACCACTGCGAATTAATGAGACCTGACCGAACCTATTCTAGATTAACAAACCAAAGAGAAAACTGGTAGAACCTACTTATGTACCATAGTGCTGCCGCTTAACTGGCAACTAAAATAATTTTCATGAACAGGCTACTGTATTAAACTATAATTGATCTGATTATGTATATGCTTAATGATTCTTTCTTTAATAAAGGACCACAATAACTTTACTATAAAGACTTACATGGCCATCATGGCCGAGAGGGATGCTGCCATCCGTGAACGGAATATGGCACTAGAGGAGAGAAAAAGGGCTTTTGCAGAGCGAGACATGGCAATGCTTCAGAGGGATGCAGCTCTTGCAGAGCGCAATGCTGCGATACAAGAAAGAGACGATGCCATTGCTGCTCTTCGATTAGGGGAGAGCTCTATAAATGACAACAATGTGGTTCCAGATTCACCAGGAAATGACACTGAAAGTGGTGCAAAGCATATTTATAACCAACAGCAAATGCATAAAACCATAGTTGAAGCAGCTCATGGTTCAATGGAAGATCCCACAGCTGGCTACTTGAAAGGCACGGATACTTCTGAAGGAAAGAATCCTAAAAAGGTCAGGCGACCTAAAGAGAGCAGACACAATAAGCAAGCCAAGATACCAAGGCAGGCTAAAATTGGCGCAGAAAGTTTGAATATGCAGGTCATTTCTACATCATCAGATGATTGGGTAAATCTGCAAGAGTTGGATAGTGATAAGGAGGGGGGAGATATGCAGCTCACATCATGGAAAGATAACTTGGGTTTGAACCAAATCAATTTTGATGAGTCTGCCATGCCAGTGCCAGTTTGCTCCTGTACTGGGACTCCACAGCCATGCTACAAATGGGGTCATGGTGGGTGGCAATCAGCCTGCTGCACAACTACCATATCTATGTACCCTTTACCTCAAATATCAAACAAACGCTATTCCCGGGTGGGTGGCAGAAAGATGAGTGGTGGTGCCTTCAGTAAATTGCTTAATCGTCTTGCTGGTCAAGGTTATGACCTGTCTGTTCCACTTGACCTGAAGGATCATTGGGCTAAACATGGTACAAACCGCTACAGCACGTTAAAATAGCTTCTGTATGCATGTTGGATTGGGAACTCAAAACTTGTAGAAGGCATTGTTGGGGAAGTGTGTTGTGGATGAAAGAAATTGTACTTTAAAACTGTGCAGGATATATACAGCTAATAGCTATTCATTCACATTTTTTAGCTGTCTCTGTCTCAGAGTTCCAATTCATCTTATCAGAACGGCCACATATCATGTAATTTGCTTTTAACAAAATATATTTAAATGAAAATGGTGATTTGGGTGACAAATAGCTTTGCCTAGACAGCGAATATGGCGAACAAATGGCTAAGACAGTGTGCGAGCCGGTGTATTTTTTGCATTTTGCCCGTATCGAACACGCTCTTCTGCTTGTTTAGTCGTTCTCTATGAATCTTATCTACGTATTGACTCACATGGAAAATGTTCTTCCACGTCAAATAGAATTTGCTTGTGGTATAGTGTTAACAATAATACATGAAATTAAATGGCACCATTTTTATCGATAGAGGAAACAAGTACAAAATAATGACCTGACAGAAGTGTGTGCCAATTCTGTGCTCGCAGAGCGTTTGCAGCTAATATAGGCCTATTATCTATAACCATAACAAGCCTCAGTAACACGTCAGTTAATCTCTAAATTCACAATACTCCTATTTCTTTGGCTACAAACTTTTATTTTTCATTTGTGTAATCTTTAAAAATAAAAAATAAAAACAGTCTCTTAGTATATCTTTCTTGTGTGGATTGAATAATTTATATTTCTTCACATTAAATAAAGAAAGAAAAATTTGCATATACTGCTTGTACGAAAATAATTAAAAATTGATTCTTTAGGGAAAAAAGAAAAGAGAAAGAAAAACAGATGGATAACAGCATGTGGCATCATTTTGTTACCTGCGCCAACAAGAGTGGCAAAATTGAGTATTTTGACCCATCTCAGGCTCATTTATGAACGGCCTCTCGGCATACACCTGCTTCCGAGAAAAAGACAGACGACAGGGGGAAGCTTTGGCCGTTAAAAAATTCAGTTTTTCTGTTCGTCCGACGAAAAGATTTCACTCGAACTCTAGGTGTTGTTAATCGCTGCTCAACATAGTTGCTGTACCCTAGCAATGGGTGGATCGGAATCAATTCTCTCCAGCTCACAGGTACTTTTTCAACTTCAACAAATTCTATGAATCTCAGTTCAAATTGTTCGCAATTTTCCTTGTTTAATTTTAATTTTCTCGTGGGTGCAGAGGCCAATCGATGAGATCACTACTGTTTCCGAGCGTGTAGAAGGCGTTGATCCTATTTTGGAGAGGCTAAAATCTCTCAAAATTGTAAGCTCTCTTCGCTAACTTCAGAATTTTTGTTTTGGTAGCTATTAAGCCATCACATCTGTATGAATTTATCTAAATTCGTTGCGTGTATGAGTAGGCTGCTCCAATACTGAAATCGCTGCCGGCTGAGAGTAGCCTGACTGACATTCTGGTGAGAAAACCATCGTCCTCTTCGAATAAAGGTAATTGCCCTGTGCCTGCTAATATTTGAAACAGTGTGATGCAAGCGGACTATGGTGGTGTTACTCCAACATTAAAAGTACTTTAGAGTTCCTCAAATGAACTACAAATCAAGAGAATATATCAAGCTTTTATAAAAGGAAAAAAAGGAAAGGAAGTAGAGAGAGTCAGTTAAATTTCATCCTACAAATGTTACATTAAGCATAGAGCCACACTGATTGATTCGTTTTCACCCTTGTAACGTTTCCAAGATTATGGCCTATCGCTCTCTTCCAGAGTTTCATTTTAATAACACAACTGTTCCACATCTTTGAATATTTCCCTCAATTGTCATATATCGGAACAAGCTACTCTTTGTTTTAATATAACATTGAGTAACTTGGTTGGCCATATTACACCAACTTCTTCAAGGCATTTACAAAACTATGTTGTGATACCATTTGGACCACATGCCTTTTATCCTCAGATTTTTCATGTCTTCCTTTTCTCTAATATACCTAATTTATGAGTTTAATCAAGGTTCCAATTTGTCGCAAATATAAGGTATCCTCATAATTTGTCTTGGGCAATTGATCGAAATAACATTCTCATCTCTCTTTTATTCTCACTATCTCTTGTCAAAACTTGCTGAAAATTGTCTTTAATACACATAATTTGGTTCAAGTCTTACCCCTCCTCTCTTAATCGTGCTAGCTTATATAGTGCTTTTTTTTCTCTTCCCGTGTCCATTACTTTTGGCAATAGTCCTCATTTCACTACTATGGTTCTTTTGGTTAGGGTGCTAAGCTTTTAGACACACCTGGAAGTTTATGTGCTACTTTCTTAAGTCACTTGTGATTTCCATACATGATATCAACTTTGAAGAGTTGGATTGATATCAATGTTGTTGTATATTGGATGTTGAAATGTTTGTTTCTTATTTAAGTTTGATTATTCTAGTGCCAGATATCATATATGTATGGTATTATTTAGTTTTCCGTAAAGTTTGCCCTTCACTTCTCGCTTTTCGCTTAGAACCCCGGGCACCTTTTCGCCTTTTTGCGGTTTTCGCTCTTTAAACACGTATTTACTTAATTATTTCTTCAAGAGCCTTCATCATGATACTATGTAGTTTAATTCTTGATTATACTGGGTGGGGGGTGGGGGGGGGGTGGGTAAGCATGAGAGCAGCAGGTTTGACCATGCTGATGAAGTGGTTATCACCAGATGTCTTTGGGCACCCATGACGATATCTTAAGTCACAGATTTTCTGTATATAACGTCATCAAATGAAGGGTGTTTGTAAAATTAGCAGACACAGAGCTATCTTTGAGTTAAAATAGAGAACAACATCTCCTAGAACAAGGTTGATAGTAGACGATTTATTGCCACTTTGTCTTGCTTGCTTCTCTTGTGTATATGATTTTCCCAATCTTCCCAATACTAAGTTGGTAATCAGCCTTAGATTCACCTATATTCAATTTGTTATCAAATTCAGATTTTCCTTCATTCCTATACTCCATTTAGTTCTATTGGCTGAAGCCTCATCTCTGGCAGTGTCCACAGATGTGCTGCTCCAGTTTATGATCCCTATTATTTTCATTATTGGAATCTCTGCAGATTTCGGATATCCTGAATGAGATCATATATCATGCCTTTTCATCGAACTAGCTCCTTTTCGATGAGTCTGATTCACCTTTAAGCAAATCTGAATGACTAAACTTGTTTGTAGTATCCAAAGCTACAAAACTAATCAATTTACTTTTGTTATCTTAAGTAATCACACCCACAAGGGTGAGTATGTCTAACTTATCAAAAGAAAAGGGAATGGTCCTCACCTAAAGAGATACCAAAGAAGCTTAAAATAAAATAATATGAAACAATTCAAAAAAATTCGTCACAGCAATGGTAGCATTTGACCAGCACTTTCTTCAATACCTGTTGCACTATAATTTTTTATTTTCAACAATTGTCATCAGGAATAATTAGAAGTTTTCTCTTATCCTGCTGGTGAAATATTGATATTCCTTTCTTTGTGCTTGTAGGCTGTGTAGATCCAAAAGTTCTACTTGAGCTCTTCTCTGTATATCGCCAGTGGCAAGAGGAGAAGGCCCAGAAGATCTGTAAAAGACAGGTTTGTTCAATTATTGTCATGTGTGTCTGGTCACTTAATGCTTCAGTAGCCATTTACCGTTGTGGCAGTGGTTGCCTCCGTAAAAAAAGTGGATCTAGAACAAGTCTACGAATTGCACCTTTGTGTCAGTTTGAGTTAGACTATGTAATTACACAACAAAATCTATTCTTAGTGCAATTTCCAGTCTCAAAACATGGTCGCTTTTTGGGTCATTGGGGAATAGGAGTTATCACTTATCAGTATCCTTTTGAATCAAAGCTGTGGTCTGAACTTCGTATGGTGCTCTTGCAAGTACATTAAGGTCAGGTAACTACTGTTAGCCGAGGCTGGTGATGAGGTGGATTATCACCCAAATAGTCATCATTGATGCTCAGAATTGTTAAACAGTTATTGATCCTATCATCCTAATTATGTTTACTATGTAGAAGTGGCTGATTAGATTGATTTGGGTTCTCTAAAACTTGATTCTAGAATTTACAAGTAATGGAGCAGCTGCCTCAAAATCTTGTCTATCTGATTACTCGATATTCATCAACTTTTCAGGCATCTAAATTCCCAAAGTTGGTCACTAAAACTAAAAGCCCTCTAGGTCTGTGATAGACAATATCCTTTTAAATCAACAAGCGCACATCATCAACTCTGAGATTTTAAAAGGTGGGTAAAGATAATGCAAAGTTTTATGTTTGATCACAGCTACATTATTATTTGTTCCATTGTACCTTGGTTGAGAATTGTCTTGCCACCTCCCGTAGTATTGCTTGTATTACGCAGATGGTATACCATTTGCGAAGTGCTTCCTTGGAAGATAATTAAAAGTTATAGTCAATTCGGTGGTGGCTTTTCGACACTAGGATGTCGAAGCTCTTTTCATTACATTAAGTCCTATGTTCAAGGTGTTAGCCTGCCTATGCTAGCATGTGAAGCTCTTCATCAGTGGTTACAAGCTTTTGTTGTTTCTTGTAGTTCTTCTTCAAGTGAAAAGTAGAGCTGGGATATCTTTTTTAAGTAGATCTTTGGATAATTGCTGCAGGAAGAAATAGAAAACAAAATAGAAGTTGCAGATGCATTGGCTGTTAAGCTGCTTCAACGTTTCAATTACTCTGTTTCTGCAATGAAAACAACCTCACAGCATCTATCAGAAGGTATTTTCTTTGAACTGGATCTATCAGAAGTTATTATAATTTCCAATCTCGAAAAGCAGAAGAAAATAGAAATGCCCAACGGAATCACTAGGGTTACTATAGTGTGGAGCTTTAGGATAAAGTTAAATGGTTGTCCATATGATACCTGATTCCAGGTATTTAATCTAGCAAGGGAATGCTGTTTTTTAACTCAATGTTTGAATTGCATGCAGTACATGGTTTGCAGGTTGAACTTGGGGAGTTAAAAGGGAGGTTGACAGAAGTAATCAGTAATTGTGATGCACTGTGCAAGAGGATTGCTGCAGAGGGACCTGAATCACTTCGATCATCTATCAAACCACTTACAGCAGCTTCCTCTGATACAGGAAGCAATTGCAGTAGCATACATACTACTCTGCAAGCTGAAGCAGATGAAAGGCAATAGTGCGAAGGCTGGGTTGGAGCTTATAAAATGTCTCTATCCCTGGTGTACATAACTTGTTTAAGCATCATGATCCATAGTTGTATCTTTTGTCCAACTGACTGGTAGTTCAAGCACACTCAGGAAATTAATTACACAGGAAACATAGTCAGGGAATTTAATTGTATTGGAAGCACGTGGATCTACTTCTCAACTGGTATTGACTGTTCATTCATTGACACTTGAAATATTAAGATTCATTGCCTTGATGCTTTATTTATTTATTTACTAGTTTCTCAGCACGTGTGTTGCACGTGTATATCGAGTTATATAGTATATAATTTTATAAAAAATATTAATATTATTATATCAAATTAAATATTTGAGTAAATAATTATAAATAAAAGCTAAGAAAGTACAGTAAAGAGGAGTAGTTCTAAAATTAGAGGAAAGAAAATAAAGAAAGAGGAATAACAATACTTTTTCAAATCGAAGAATTGGCAGAATGATTTGTTCTTAAGAATCCTGGAGAATTCCCTTTATGTGAAATGTGGCTTTTGATTTAAAGCCAGCAATGGTTAAAGCATAATACAAAAGATTAGTTAGTAAGGAAGGGATACAACATTTAAGAGAAAACAGTACTCGGTCTTCTTCTTTTATTTTAAAATAGTATTTTAATATATTACAATTTTTTAGTTATGATCTCAACTTTGAAGTATAGATATGCTCCATCCAAATAAGTTACCTTATAGATATCATTTTCATGATCTTAAGATATTTCCAAATATTAATATAAGCTTAATTTATATCTTACCACTGTAAAGATAATCTTTTACATATATTCGTACATGCTACCAAACCACAATTAATCAAGCAGAATAGCATATATTTTTAGATCAGCACATCATGAACATCTACCGATAGTTTTCGAAACTGTATTTCATAAATCACTAAGGATAAGAAATAATAGATAAATTATAAATTGAGAGAGGAAATAAAATATATTTTTGTTGTCATCAAACTTGCCAAATTGTGACAATTTCAAATTAACAACACTTCTTATGTCTTTGTTTGGCATATCCATATGTTTTTCCGAACCAATAATCAACCTGATTTTTATTCTCTCGTGCTTCGTAATTTGGCCATTGCAGAATTGATAAAAGATCAAACAAGAATATAACGCGAAAGGTATATGCATTTTTTCTGTCTTGGAAAATGTGATCCTTGACTTTCAGTTAATTTCCCAAACATTAGCATTTAAATTTGATAATACAACGATTCCATCCTTGATCAATGATCACGCCCGACTATACCTTATAAAAAGGACTCTGCGGACGTTGCAAATATAACCGAGTATTACGCCCAGGGTCGAATCCACAGAGAGTTAACCTATCAACCACTATCTTCAGACCCACTAATTCTTCAGAACCAGCTTCCCAAATATTCAAATCTCAGTTGAGTGTTCTTTAACAACTAGCTTGCAAGTAACTAAATAGCTGTAAACTAAACTAATAAGGTTGTAAACAATTATGAGGAAAAACTAAGGCAATGATTTCCCCTATTGATGGAATCCCTTCTGTTTATGCTCATACAAATTTACCAACACATCTCTATCAATCATGAACACTAATCTTACCGTAAATCTCTCCCGAGTAATCACAGTAATTTACTATTGCACTCTCCTGAGATACACTAGCTTACTTTATTTAGCACGATTCACTTTAGATTACACCCAAGGCTTCGTTATCCCTAATCCCGCCTTTAAACCCGCAATTATAGATTCCTCTAATAATCTAGGAGTGGTGTTGTTCAACAATACCCTAAATATGCACTCTTTTCCAAGTTATACACACTAAATAGGCACAGCTAATTGAGGATCCTGTCAATTAACTACAGCAAACACGAAGTTGAACAAATAAAGATCAAACTAGCAATTTGTATTCACATAAACAAGAAGTTCATCACCCAATAGGTTCCATCAAAACCTTAGACAAGGAATTTAGCTACTCATGGCTATGGGAAAATAAACTAAGATTGAATTCATCATAAAAATCAAAAGAAAAGAAGAAAGATGGTTGGGGTATTCTCTCACAATGGTTTTCCATGCTAAGAAACCTTAAAAATCAATACATGCCTCTCTTGGGCGAAGTCTAATGTTTTAAATAGGGTTTAGGTCTAAAAATCCCGTGTTTTACACTTTGGTCCCTGAAGTTTTCTGCTTTCGCCGCGGTTCTGCCGCGGTCGCGGTCAAACCGCGGCCAAAAGCCTTCTCTGATTCTGAAATCATCCGCAGCTGTCTTCCACCGCGATGGAACCGCGGTAAAACCAGTGCTCTGAATCTTCGGCCTGTTTTGCATGGTTTACTTGGGAAATTTCACAGTTGGCCTCTTTTTCACCAATTTTGACTCCAAAACTGCTCCTTAGCCTTCCTTATACATATATCACCTGCAAATCATTGAAAGCACTAATAAGAGCATTTTGTTATCACTTTTAGCATTAAAACTATACAAGAAGATGATTATTTAAGGTGTGATTATAATCAAATTCACCTATTATTAATCAAGCATTGATGCGGCTCACCTCGTTATCAACCATTGAAGTCTCTTTTTGTTGTTTTCTTTCCCTTTTCGAAACCGCTAATCATCTTTTTCTTTCATTTTTCAAATACCAGGCTTCGTTCATTAAAGTTCCAAAACAGAAATTGTATACGTGAAAGAAATTAATGTATTTTAGTATGGAGTATACCTTAAAAGTTCTTCCAAGGCTTCTGAAGATAGCTTTCAATAAAAAAGGCTTTGTTCTCATTTGAAAAGTTAGGCAACGGTTCATCTGTTCTTACTTGAAAAGTGTTTGCTCAAAAGTTATCGTGTGCTTTATGAGTGCAAAACAATATAAATAAGTTACGGAAAAATCATAACAAATCGTAATAATCCATTGGACCAAGCGAAGAACATGAAAATAAGTATTCAAGGTTAGGAGAAGAAATCTTAACAGCTTTTATTGACAATATTGGTTTGGTCTGCCTCTCCGTGAAGAGGTTCAGAGCCTTACAATGGTGTTTTCTCTTCCCATAAGATGGGTATATTTTTCTCTTCTCTCTCTCTCTTGTGAATAGTGGTGAAGAAGCAGTCCCCTTTCTAGGGCTTCCGCTCTTAGTATTTATAGGTGTGAGCTTCGTGAGCTGGCAATAAATGGCCGTGGCCACGCTGAGGTTCCGTCCCCATGGGGGAATGAATGGGCCGTGCCCTCGTAGATTAAATCGGACAAGAGTCGAATCATGTTATGAATAAGTGGCCATACCACTTATTAATTATGGATTAGCTCAAGACGAGATTAACTCCGTTAATTACCGTGAGATCGGATTCTGACCCATACAGTTAGTCCCTTCGCTTATTGAGGTCGTGTTTCGGCCGAGCTCGATGAGCGGACTTCATCGATTGTGATTTGAAAAAAACTCGAATAAGGGGGTCGACTTATTGACGGCGGTGGCCTTAGCCGTTTACACGTTGGAGATGGCCGTAGCCTTTCATATATTGGGGATGGCCGTAGCCTTTCATATATTAGAGATGGCCGTAGCCTTTCATATATTGGGGGATGGCCGTAGCCTTTCATATATTGGAGAGCCTTTCATACATTAGAGATGGCCGTAGCCTTTCATATAATGGGGATGGCCGTGGGGAATGAGTATGCGTCGGGTGCGTACTTGGTCACGTCCAGAATTTTGAAGGCGTACGGCTCATTTTTTCAGCGTTCGCAGGCCGTTGCAATTATTCTGACGGCGGGACGTTGGCGGATGGCTGAGAAGCCGCTTCACGGAGCTTGTCATAATGACGCCTGCTTCGGCAGAACCGAACCGTTTTACGGTTGGTCGTGCAGTTAATGATAGCTATTGGGTTTCGCGAAAGCCATTTATGTTGCCTATAAAGGTGGATTGAGGCATTCATTTCTCATATCTTCATTGTTCATCTGAGAGAGATTCTGAGGAAACTTTTTCATTCTGCTAATTCATCTTCTCCTTTTTTTCCTTTGATTGTGATAACCTTTGTCTTGCCCACCGAATTCTATCCCTTTCTCTTTAGTAGATCAACAATGGCAGGCAGTTCTTCCCACGATGCTCTTCCGATAGATTTTCCGGTAGTTGAAGGGCCACCTCCGGCAATGGGAGGTGCAGAACAGATAGAGACCGGAGAAGTTCCGTCGGTTGACGAGGTAGTTCCTCGGCCCGGAGGTCTGGCGATTGATTTCACTGTCGACGGTGGAGAGGACCCGATGGATGAAGCCCCGTTAATGGGGGAGATTGGGGTAGCCCGATTACGGGAACAGGGGGTCATTCCCACCCATGCAGACATCGTTCTCGCTAGAAGCGAGGAGAGGGTCCACACCGACCGCAGGGGATACTGCGTTTTTTACGCCTATCCTTTCAGGTTGGGGTTCAAGATCCCGCTCCCAATGCTGGTGGTGGATTTCTGCCGTTATTACGGGGTGTGCCCGGGTCAGCTCACTCCTTCCCTCTACAAATTGTTGGCAATGTTCATCAAGTACGCGGAATTGGCCCGTATGGAGGTCACGCTGCAGCATGTGCTTAGTCTCTACGCTCCCCAGAGAGTCCGTGGCACCATGATTCAGGCGTGCCCTCGTGGGTCGAGAGGCCTGGTCATGAGATTGGATGACGAGGTCGACCCTCGCCCTTTCGAGCACTTCTTTTATATCAGGACCAGGCATCTGGTGGCGGATGCTACTGGGTTCCCAGAGGCTTGGAACCATGCACGTAAGTTCTTTAGTGGTTGAATTCCCTTTTCTTCCCCTCTTTATGATTTGTGATCATGAGCGTTAACTCGTGTCATTTTTTGTAGCCGACAGGTCGCCGCCGGCCCCATTGTCTTGGATACGTGAGTGGGTCGAGGCCGTACTCCCCCATACGGTGGGGATACGCACATGGGCGTCTTTCTGGGAGAGGCATGGCCGTAGGCCTGTGGCAGGTAAGAAATTGATTTCTTCTTCTGTTCCGCTTTGTTTCAACTTTATTCATCAACTTTGTTTTCCTGTGATCAGGGAGGGCACGCCGCGTCAGGGCCCCTCAGTTGGCTTTTCGTCGGCCGGGTGCAGTCGCTCGTCTTACTGCGGCGCCTGTGTCGCGCTCAATANCCGTGCTGGTTTCCGGCTGGAGCCCTTATCAGGGATGTGTGAGATCTCTTACGAAGATTCTCCCCAAAAGAGGGGGGGGGGGGCTTCTTCTTTTTGTTTGCACCATCCGATAGATGAGAGACAGAGGAACT